CTATTGGGTGGAAAGTTCTATAAATGTCAGTTAGGTCAAGTTAGTTGATAATGTTCAAGTTTTCTATGTCCTTGCTGATTTTCGTGTTCTACTTCCTCAATTATTGAGAGAAAGTTGTTGAAATCTCCATTTATAATTGTGGATTTGTCTATTTCTCCTTGCAGTCTATCACTTTTTGCTTCATCTATTTGAAGCACTATTATTGGGTACACACACATTTAAGATTGTTATGTCCTCTTGACGAACTGACCCCTTTATCTTTAGGAAATGAGTCTTTTTTTTTTGGGGGGGAAGATCAGCCCAGAGCTAACATCCATGCCAATCCTCCTCTTTTTTTTGCTGAGGAAGACCGGCTCTGAGCTAACATCTATTGCCAATCCTCCTCTTTTTCTTTTATTTATTTTTCCCTTTTTCTCCCCAAAGCCCCAGTAGATAGTTGTATGTCATAGTTGCACATCCTGCTAGTTGCTGTATGTGGGACACGGCCTCAGCATGGCCCAAGAAGTGGTGGGTCAGTGTGCACCCAGGATCTGAACCTGGGCCGCCAGTAGCGGAACTTGCGTACTTAACCGCTAAGCCACAGGGCCCCCCCAGGAAATGAGTCTTTATCCTTGCTAATATTCTTAGCTTTGAAATCTGCTTCATCAGATATTAACATAGCCACTGCAGTTTCTTCTGATTAATGTTAGCATGGCACATCTTTTTCCATCTCTGTATTTTTAACCTAATTGTCTTTATATTTAAGGTAGCTTTCTTGTAGGCAGCATTATTATTGGGTCTTGTTTTTTTTTTATAAGCAATCTGGTGATTTCTGCCTTTTAATTGGAGAGCTTAGACCATTTAGGTTTAATGTGATTATTGATATAGTTAGATTTAAATTTACCATCTTGCTATTTGTTCCATCTGTTCATTTCTTCTGCATTCTTTTGGATTGAATATTGATAGAGTCCATTTAATCTCTTGTTGGCTTATTAGCTGTAAATATTATTATTTTAATGGTTTATAGTATATATCTTTAACCTATCAGAATGAAAAGAAAATATTATTCTACTTCAATTATGGTATAAGAAGCTTAGTACAGTATAGTTCCATTTCTCCCCCTCCCAGTCTTTGTGCTATTATTCTCATACATTTTACTTCTCTGTTATAAACCCCATAATATATTACTTTTTGTTTGCTTTAAACTGTCAATATTTTAAAGCTTTATTGAAATATGATTTATATAGCATAAATTTCACCCTTATTAGGCGAACAATTCCATCACTGTTACTCTAACAGATTTGTGCAACCATCACCACTATCTAATTTCAGAACATTTCCATTACCCCAGAAAGAAACTGTGCCCATTTACAGTCACTCCCTATTACCACCTCCAGCTTTAGGTCACCACTAATCTATGGTCTGTCTCTATAGATTTGCCTCTTCTGCACATTTCATATAAATGGAACCATGCAACATTTGGTCTTTTGTGCCTTGCATCTTCCACTTAGCATAAAGTTTTCAAAGTTCATCCATCTTGTAGTATGTATCAGTACTTCATTCCTTTTTATTGCCAAATAATATTTCATTGTATGAATATATATTTCATTTATCCATTCACCAGTTGGTGGACATTTGGGTTGTTTTTACTTTTTAGTTATAAATAATGCTGCTGTATTTGTGTACAAGTCTTTCTATGGACATATATTTTATTTACTTTGCGTAGATAGCATAAAAGTAGAATTTCTGGGTTATATGGTGTCTTAGTCTGCTTGAGCTGTGATAACAGAATGCCACAGACAGGGTGGCTTAAACAACAGAAATTTCTTACAGTTCTGGAGGCTGAGAATTCCAAGATCAAGGTGCTGGCAAAGCAGGTTTCATTCTGAGGCCTCTTCTCTTGGTTGTAGGCGGCTGCCATGTTGCTTTTTGCTCACATGGCCTTTCCTGGGGGCATGTGCTGGGGGGAGTAGGTAGGGAGACAGTGCTCTCTGAAGTCTCTTCTTATAAGGACACTAATCATATTGGTTCAGGGTCCCACCCTTATGACCTTACTTAACTTTACTTCCTTAGAAGCACCATTTCCAAATACAGCCACACTAGGGGTTAGGGCTTCAACATACGAATTTTAGGGGGGACACATTTAGGCTATAACACACAGTAAATCTATGTTTTAACATTTTAAGAAACTGACGCACCGTTTTCCAAACTGAACACATCATTTTCATTCCCACCAGCAATATATAAAGATTCCAATTTCTCCACGTGCCGGCTCACGCTTTTTATTGTCTTTTCCATTATAGCCATTCTAGTGGGTGTAAAGTCATTATCTCATTATAGTTTCTACTTGCATTTCTTTGTTGATGTTGAGCTTTTTTCACATGCTTATTGGCCATTTATTTGTCTTCTTTGGTGACGTCTATTCAAATCTTTTGCCTGTTTTTAAATTGGATTATCTTATTGAGTTTTAAGAGTTCTTTATATAGTCTAGATATAAGTCCTTATCAGATATGTTTTGCAAATATTTTCTCCCAGTCTACAGCTTGTCATTTTACTTTCTTGATGGTGTCTTCTGAAGTGTAAAATTATAAATTTTGATGGTCTATTTTATCTAATTTTTCTTTTATTGCTTGTGCTTTTGGTGTCATATTTAAGAAACTATGGCTTTTCTTTATCATTTCTGGGTCACTTTTGACTATGTTCCTTATTATTTCCTTATTTTATATATATATATAAATATATATACATACATATATTACACACATTATATATATACACAGACACATATATACACATATATATGTATATACATATATATACACATACATTTAAACTTTTTATTGGAAAATTTTTGTGTTATTCTTCAAAAACACCAATTGAATGGCTTCATACTTTGCATTATGACTATACAGTGGTATATTTAATCTTTGTCATTATACATTTAGGTTATTTTGAACTTTTCAGTTTTACAAATATCATGATGAATAACATTGTACATGTAAGTCTATTTCACATCTCTCATGATTATTGGGTTAAATTGTAGAAATTAAGTTGCTTGATACATACCACCAATTGTTTTCCAGTATGATTATACCAATTTATACAGACATCAAAAGTGCATGACAGTGGAAAGTATCTATGAATTATTTATGAAATTTGTCCCTTTTCTTATTGGGTTTATTTCAAAGTTTGTGTAAATGCTATTAAGGATTTCAGCACTTTAATATTTATTGTGATATTTTCTCAGTGTTATATGCTTTTCCATTTCCATATAGAGAAATTTTAAATTTTTTATTGTCATAACATAGAAAAAATACATGTCAGAATAAACTTCTAATAGTATAGAAACTTTGTTTTTCAGATACATACAGGTGAGTTAATGTGGAAATGTTTTGACAGATTAAAGTATTTTACAGTTGAAACACAAAATGATACTGGTATAGTCACTGATCCAGAAGAGCATGAAACTGTCCAAATGAGAGATGACACATAAACATTTCATAAAAAGATAACTTTGGCATACTAGTAGAGGAGCTAAAAAAAATGTATACTCCGTGACTTAAAATAAAGCCTTATCTTGGAGACTAGGATGATTCCAAATATAGTAGCTAGACATCTCAGTCACCTGAAGTCCTCTAGAAAAGAAGGACAAGATAAACAATTATAAATCACAATAGAACACTGTACTTTAAAAACTGGGTCTGAGTCCTGGCTCTGCCTATCCAGTTTTTTGACCTGTGCATTGTCACATCCTTCTCTCGGCCTGTCTCCTCATTGGTGAAATGGGGTGATGGTCTCTATTTTTTTAGTGGCTTTTAAAAACACGGTGTTTAGCTACATCCTTTATCACTGGGAAAATAGTTAGCTTTTCAAGAAGTAGGTAATTATAAAGTTTACACCACATTGAGCACTAGAACAATAAGTTGCCATACATAGTAGTCTCATGAGCATTTAATTTCCTTCTTAGGTAGGAACCATTAGAGAGCAAGAAAACGTTTTCCTCCCAATTCTGTGCCTTCTCATTTTAATTTATGTAAATTTCATATATTATGAGAATTTCATTCTCCAAGTAAGGTTTCCTCATGTTAAGAATTTAAGTGGACTGGGCTCACTATATGCTAATGCAGCATGCTTAAAAAATCAGTAAAATGAATTCTGTTGACTTTTAGTTCTTATCATTAAATGTGGCTTATTCAGTATTTTAGTTAAAGTCGATCTAATCTATGCGTGTCCCCCACCCCAGAAGCTATCATAGCCTTGTGCACTTAGCCTGCTCTGGCTGCTGTAACAAATACCAGAGACTAGGCGACTTACGCAACAGACATTTCCTTCTCACGCTTCTGGAGGCTGGGATGTCCAAGATCCAGATGCTGGCAGGTTCGGTTCTTGGTGAGGGCCCACTTCCTGGCTTGTAGACAGCTGCCTTCTCATTTCCTTCGTCCATGGGCATGAAGAAAGTGACAAGTCTGTCTTCTTCTTCTTACAAGGATACTAATCCCATCATGAGGGTCCCACCCTCATGAGGTCATCTAAACTTAATTATCCGCTAAAGGTCTTACTTCTGAATATCATCACATTGGGGTTAGGGCTTCAAATTATGCATTTTGGTAGGACACAGTAGGTATCAATAAAAAGGTAGCCCACCTTCAAGGATTCAGTAGGTGTGGAATGAGATACAGAAAGCTGTGTTTTTTTAAAAAGCTCTCTAGATGATGCTAATGACCAGCCAGATTTGAGAACCACTGATATAGGCATTGTGGCCTTATTTGGGGAACACAGATCTATATTCTCAACTCACAGTCTTGCATTATGAGAAGTTGAAGGATGGTAGTTAAATTGTTCAGACTATCCCAAGAATAAGGGGCCTTTTAATTTTTCCTGGAAGAGTGAACTCCCTATTATTTGTAATTCCACAAATTAATAATGTAGCTAAATGCTACAAACTTGGTTTTTAATTAAAAGCACAAACAGCTCCCTTTGCATTCTGTGTTTCCTATAAACCTGTTTTGTTTGTCCTACAGAGGTGGAGGAAGATGATCTCTTTGATGATCCTCTGCCAGTCCCTTTAAGGCACAAGGTTCCAAACCAGCAAACTCTTTACCCTGAGGTATTTCCAATGACTGCAGGATCACAAAACCAACCCGAAAACCTGAGACAAAGCACAGGATGCTTCAAAGCAGAGAGTATGCAAACCTCCCTTTGGGCAAACTTTATAGACTGTGAAGAATCCAACAGTGAAAGTGAAGAAGAATTACAAATCCCAGCTTCATCTCAAGGAGATGTGGGTCCTAGCCCACATCACCAGCAAAGGGCTGATGTGGAAGTACCACAGTGGGAAGTATTCTTTCAAAGAAATGATGAAATCACAGATGATGGTGTGGAGAACATCCCTTCCTCCACAGAGGCAGGGGGCTCTCAGTCACCGAAGCTTTTCAGTGACTCCGATGGGGAATCCACTCACATCTCCTCCCAGAATTCTTCTCAGTCAACACACATATCGGAACAAGGAAGTCAAGGCTGGGACAGCCAGTCTGACACTGTTTTGTTATCGTCCCAAGAGAGAAACAGTGGGGATGTTACCTCCTTGAACAAAGGTGGCTACAGACCAAGACTCAAAGAGAATATTCCTGCCTCTCAGATGGAACAAAATGTACTTTGCCTAAAGGATACTTACTCTGATTTGAAAAGCAGAGATCAAGATGTAAATATAGTTCCTAGTGTTGGAGAACCAACTACTCTAAGCAGTGGGAAACACATACCTCAGGAAACAAGGTTGCTAAATCCTAGCACCAATGCAGATTCACAGAGCTCCTCTGATTTTGAAATTCCCTCAACTCCAGAAGCTGAGTTACCTAAACGAGAGCATTTGCAATATTTATATGAGAAGCTGGCAACAGGTGAGAGTATAGTAGTTGAAAAAAGAAAAAGCTCACTCTTAAATACTTAAGAATTAAAAATATTTCGTTCTGGAGCAACCATTACAAAACCTATACAAAGAGGTAATAGTCAAAATCATAACAGATAAATTAAAATGGAATACCTAAAAATGCTCATAGAATGTAAAAGGCAGTAAAGGGAAACAAAGGAACAGAAAATAAAGGGAAAAAAACAGAAAACAAATAAGATATGGTAGAACTAAATCCAAACATAGCAATAATTACATCAAATGAAAATGGTCTAAACACACAAGGGAAAAAAAAACATAACCCAACTATGTGCTATCTATAAGAAACTTCAAATGACATAGGTAGGTAGGTTAAAAGTCAAAAGATGGAAAAAGATATACCGTGTAAACACTACTTAGAGGAAAGCTGAAGTGGCTATATTAGTATCAGACAAGTTTCCTAATGATAAAAGGTCATAATCCTAAAAGTGTATGTACCTAACAACAGTGTCAAAATATACAAAGCAAAAACAACTGAAAGGAGAGAGACAAACTCATGCACAATTATAGCTGGGGACTTGAACATTCCTCTCTCAGTAATAGAATTAGTATACAGAAAATCAGCAACAATAGAGAAGAACTGAACAGCACCATCAACCAACTGGATCTAATTGACACTTAGCGAACACTCCACCCAACAACAGCAGAATACATGCTTTTCAAGTGCACATGGGACATTCACCAAGACAGACCATGTCCTGGGTCATAAAAACACTGCAAATTGAAAGAATAAACTTGGATCTATTACTATAAACTGATGGCTATAGGAAAAAATCAGCCCCTTATTTATCTCAAAAGATGTTACATCACTTAAGAATGTTAGTGTGAAAACAGCAGTAAAATTAAAACTAGAAAAATTAGGCCCTAAAAGAAAATAATTAAATGGCAAAAGTGTGTGTTCTGTGAGTCATTCAACTTCTTTATAGTTATACGTGGATTTAATAGTTTTATTAACAAATGTTCGTAAACACGTTGGTATGCTGACATTCATAGATAAGGAAGCAAAAGCAGAGATTTCACTTAAAACAAGTTTAAGCGGAGTCTCTAAAACACATTTTGCAGATCAATTAAACTAATAATGATATGCATCACCACCATGCTGCATGGTAATTAGACCAAAAATAAGTATTGGATCCACAAGGCCAATCAGGGTTACAAGACTTAGGAGTCAGTGGGAGAGGAAATAAACTGGGTGCTCAGAGGGACCAATGCCAAGAGGACCCAGGGAGCCAGCCCTCTCATTTCTCCAGAAGGGAATGGCCCATTCCCAACTGTTGGGAGGATGACAAATTAGCCCTTGTCCATTTACGTGGGGGAGAAACTGGACAGTGACACTTAGACTTCAAACTTCAGCTAAGAAACTGGCATAAGAGGAGGGATAAGGGGGTGTGGTTATTAAGGGAGAGGGCTGAGAGTAAGGCCTGTTCAGTTCATTTCTGATTGGTCTTTGAGCAATAGGTTGAGTCACAATTGAAGGTAGTGTCTCTGCCCTAAATTACTCAACAGTGAGTGAGTTTTATTCATATGTACACCAAAAGTGACTGCTCTGAGCCTAGTCAGGTACCTAGGGGCAAAGGAATATAAGGAAGAACACGGGGAGTTTTAAGGGAACACTGACCCCTTTTTTTTAGCTCAGCTGCTGCTCTGAGCTTTTGATGATATACTCTACCAACTCAGTATGACTGGGGCAGGATTATAGTTATATTCATTCCATTTTGCCCATCTCCCCTGTGAGGACTATTACTTAAATTCAAAGTGAATATAAAATCACTGGAGAGAACCAGCAGGGACTGCAAATCATTGGCTGAATATCTAGTCATAACTACAACAGGCCTATTACAGAAACCCAGATACTTCATTTTTTATTTATAGCTCTAAATGTTAGTTATACTTTATCATAAATTATGTAATAAAAGTAACTATATACATTTGTATATATTCACTGGCACTTAAGACTTTATCTTAATAGTATAGCTTATGATCCAAGGTAGGTGTTCAAAACATGCCTGTAAACATTCTTCTGAATATATTAACATTTTATAATCACACCATCAATTTAATATTACATACTGCCACATTTTCATTGATTTATATGTGAGTCTGGCATAATAAATGCTGGCTGAATGAAGTTAAGGGCTAAGAGCACTAGAACACTTTTATCAAAAAACTTGATCACCAAAGATTTTAAAGTACAGGTTTATAGTACATAATCACTATAGCTAATAGTTATATATGGTGCTTACTCTGTGACAATGCTTAATTCTTTTACACACTGACTACTACCTCCTCTAATCCTCACAACCACCCTTTGAGGTAGATAGATACATTTATTATCCCCATGCACAGATAAGGAGGCTAAGGCACAGAGAGGTTTGTTTACAGAGCTAGTAAGGGGCAAAGCCAGAACTCAAACACTGGCAATTCAGGCCCCGGAGTCCATGCTCTTAACCACTATGCAAAAATACCTCTCAAGAAGAGCATAAAAGTGTGCAGGATTAACTGAAGTAAAAATCAGGTAGCCACTACAAGAACTGTGAAGTGTAAAAGGAAAAATGAAAAAAAAAAGTTTCAAAATGCCAAGATATATCACAGAAGAAACCCAGTGGCTAGCCACATTTGCCCTAGAGAGGAATCCAGGACTTACAAGTTTGTTTAAATTCATAGTAGAAATTGATTTTTTTAAAAGTCTGCCTAAAGCTGGTTAAAGACATTAAAAATAGTCAGGTATAGTTTACTGCCTCTGAGTGGGGTGATCTCTGGCGTGTTAACGCTACCTAACCGGGCTAAACCTGTTTCCTTCAGGGTACTGTAGTGACTTTTTTGACAGCACCAACTGCGTAGATTTATGAGACGCACATGAGGACGGTATAAAGGGCCTAAGATAGGCCCAAAGAATATTAGCTCTCCTTCTTAAGTTCCTTTGCACTTCCAGGCAGTACTTAGCACCATGTGCTTAAGTACCTAATAATGCTAAAAAATTTTAGAGGTATCCATTCCACATTATGCTAAGTGTAAAATGCTACTTTAATATTCAAATACATGAACCATGACAACCATAAACTCTCTTAAAAGGAAAGTAACATTTAAAGGAATGGTATATAAGCCTTTGGTTAATCTCAATAGCAGGTAGTCAGGAATACATCAGTATTTTGCTGCCCCTTTTGTAGCCTTACTGGAAATGACAGTAATATATTCAGAAACAAAGCTAAGTCATGATACATAGAAAATCAAATGCCAAGCTAAATTTATTTTGCTAAAGTAAAACTGTTGAACTATAAGAAAAATAAGTGTGGTCTAGATTTTGCATATATGGAGAAAAAACCCTGAGATTACCAATTGTGTATCACAATACTCTTATGTAGATATTGAAGACAATGGTGTTAATACAACTTGTACAGTGGATTAGTTGACAGTTTAAACTTGATCTAAATATTACCGTTGAATATTTGCTTTATATTGAGAGAACAAATTCTGGCAACTTAACGACGCTAATTTAAAGCAGCTAAATGTTGACTTAAAATAGTTAAAGCTTCTAACAGCTTCGTTTAAATAGTTTCTATTACTTTACTGTTTAAGTTCAGCTTTTTAATAACATAAGGGTAACACTGGTAATTAAACTCTCAAAGGCTCATTAAATTTCTATTAATAAGGACAAAACAAGTTTACTGAAAATAGCTGGCTTCCCTTTGCCCTCCAGGTTACATTAACAACACAAAAAGTAGACAAAAATCAAGTAACTAGACAGCAAAACATTGATTTTTTAAAAAGAATGTTGAAATTACATCTTTAAACCTGTGAGAATTATTATTCAAAGAAAGCTTGGCCACTGGGAGCAACCTGTGAATCTGTGACTTTCTCACCATGCACACCATGTATTTTTTCATAAATAAAACATAAGAAATGGCACTAAAAAATGTATTTTTCCTTGACACCTGCAAATTTTGATTAGCAGATATACTCTGAGGCTCCAAACATGTAAACAATTTACCCTATCTTATAAAAGAGCAAAGTCATGTGGTAGCAATATAATGAATTATAAAGTGTAGCTTCTTCCAAAAAAAGAGGTTAAATATTAAGAAGATATTTGAAGTGCTGCATTCTTGAAGTCAGTTCAATTTTACCCAAACTTATTTTAGGTCATTAAAGCCTAGGGCAATGAGCTTAAGTAGAATTTGATTAGGAATACCAAAAGTCAGATTTACTTGCTGCATTTACTCTCATGTTGCACACCATAATTAGAAATCCCAGAATCACAAAGAGAGGAAAACAGTTTTTCCCAATTGAGGTTTTACTACGCAGGAAAAAAAAGAAAAATAACAAACAATTAATATATTCCATTTCAGTCTACATAGTTCAAGTAATAAATGGTCTCATAATTCAGGCACATATTTTGGCCAAGCCAAGTTTAGCTTTATCACATTTAAAAAATTCATGTATAAAATAAGTATCAGTTCAAAATATAGATTCCTTTTTAAGAAGAGCCTGCAGGAAATATAAAAATAATTAAATTTGGTGGAAAGGAAATGTTAAAACTGCCTGAAATTCAGAAGATGTAATGTTAATGTATTGTGTGAAAAATTATCATTAGGTACAGCTGCTCTCAAGGGTATCTTGTTTTACTGTTTAGACCTGAGGTACTCAATGTGGATCTCCTAATTCATGCTACTACGAGGGGCCCTTAAAATGCTCCATTTCCCCTGCCTGTACTCCAAAAAACCCTCCTAGTCCCATTTCCCCGCCCTTTCAAAGAAGCATATTCTAAAATTTTAGAGAGCACTTTTTGGAGATTTTCCTCCTACAGGATTAAAAAATCGTTAAGAATTACTGGTTCAGACATACACCCCTCATAATGGTCTAGATTGCTTCAAAATATGAAATCAAGCTATAATTAATTTTTTACATTAATTTTAGACTTTAAATTTCTATATAATTAAGATCCCAGTGTTTTAATGAAAGAAGTAGAAAATAGAGTATATATAATTCAGTATCACCTATTTGTCTCAAATACAAGTACAGTGAGTAGTTAAGTAGGTAAACAGGAATGACAACATAATAACAAAAATAGAACTTTTATATTTGCCCAAACTGAATTAACTCTATTTCTCTAAATTCAAGGTGTATGGCAAGTTGAATGTTTGATCTTAGCGACTGTTACACTATCAGTTTAACACAAACTCTGAAGGAGGCATTTCTCTGTTCACATAGACTTCTTAAGTATGTATGTGCTGATCTGTAAATAGTTTTCCTTTCACGTTTGGTATCTAACCACTAAATATGTATATTTCAAATTAGTCTATGTGACCCTGTATTCCTCTCTTCAGAAGCATCAGTAATGCATTTGGCCGGGAGTTTTGAAACATGAACATAGTGTATAATCTTGATAGTATGAAAAGAGTCCCAAATACTTCTTTTTTAAAGGTTAACATTAGCAAAAAACAAAACTACAATTATCATCAGCTCTATTTCCTGAAAATTCAGTTGAGGTAACCTCTGCAAGTCACAGCTCCACATCTGCACACAGTTCTGACCCTCTTTTTGGCTGGGCTGTGGTCAATAGAATCTGAAGATATATCTCCAGAACCTGAATACATAAGACAAGACACACAAGAGAAAGAGAGTGAAGACAATTCAGAATGAGTTCCAACTTTTCTATCAGTTTTAAATAAATGTGAATACTCAGAGACAAATCATTATGAATTGTTGTGCAAGGATGGTGTGGGCTAATAAGAGATAAAGTGTATGTTATTAGCCCATATTTATGAGAAAGGATTTCTGAAATGATAAAACTTACTGGGAAAATTCAATATACAATCATTCTTTTCATACATTTCTTAAGAGCCATAAAGCAAGGTCAAATAGTAACAATATGTAAAGAGTTAGAAAAACAAAGGAAAGAAAACACTTATATTGTCACAATAAAGCAAATAGAATTAAATGTTCTTTTTAAAATCCAGTTTCAAGTAGGAATGCAATAAATTCATGATTTAAATCATATTTTCAATCCTTTGAATAAACATCTTTTAGTAAATATTCAGAAATGTAGGCTTACAATTTTTAAAATGCAAATAGTATTGAGAAAAGATGTTATAGTACAATAAACAAACTTCCATAATGGAAGTTCTGAGAAAAGCAGATGGCAACGTGACGTAGAAGAAAGAGCATTACTCAGCCCAAGGTCAGTCAGACTTGGACTCTAGTTTCAGCTCTCTTGGATAGCTTTGTGACCTTGAGTAAAAAGACAAACTCTCACAGCCTCATGTTTTCATCTTGAATATTCGTTTGGTTCAGATGATCTAAGGTCTTTGCCTACTGATTAGATTCTCCAAACTGAAACACCACCAATGAAACTGTACTGGAAAAGCATACCTTTCATCTGATAATCAAAAGTGAGCTCTTCTCCAGCATTTATGGTTCTCGTGGAAAATAATGCTATTCGGGGAAGACGAGTATCGAGGTTATCAATGAAAACATTGAACACCTGAAGATTTGGGTCACACTAAAAAGGAACATTAGAACCCATTTAAGTAAAAATGACATGAATGAGCTCTTCTACATGGCATATAAAATCTTTAATTTCCCAGAGTACTAATTTTTTAAGTTCTACGGGAAATTAAGTGGCTTATTGTTTAGAGGTCTTTGAGGCATGCACATTTTTAAAAATACTGTTTTCACTTATAGAAAATTCCAGACACACATAAAACCAGAGAAAATAACATAATAAATCTACATGTATCCACTATACAGCTTCAATAATTATTAACATTTTTGCCAATGTCTTTTCATCTAGTCCTAACTTTTTAATTTTTCTGGAGAATTTTACTGCAAACCCCAGATAACGTCATTTCACCTGTGAATATTTCAGTAAGGCATATTTAAAGAACTAGAATAACTGTATTTAAAAAAATCACAATAGCACTGTAGTAACCAAATTTCATACAGCATGGGGTTTCATTGCTTAAAATTTGTTTGGAATTCTTCAATATTTTGAGAACTCTACACCGAATTCTGGAATAAGCAAGAAAAAAGATCCAGTGAATCATACTAAGAAATCAAAATAAGCGTTTAATTTGTCCATGAATAGAATACATCTATTTTGAGATTATCTCAAATTTATCATTAAGAAAAAAATTAGGGCCCGGCCCTGTGGCCAAGTGGTTCAAGTTCCGTGCTCCACTTCTGCAGCCCGGGTTTGCAGGTACAGATCCTGGGCACGGACCTACTCCACTCACCAGCCATGCTGTGGAGGTGTTCCACATGGAAAAAAATAGAGGAAGACTGGCACAAATGTTAGCTCAGGGCAAATCTTCCTCAGCAAAAAAAAAAAGAAAGAAAGAAAAAAAGAAAAGAAAACAAAGTACAAGTTTAAGTAAATCAGAAAACTAACAAGGGAGTCAGATGGTCTCTGACATTTCACTACCAATCATATAACAGTTTCTTGGTATAAAATCCATTAGAAGTTAGGGCCGGCCCCGTGGCTTAGCAGTTAAGTGCGCACGCTCTGCTACTGGGGGCCTGGGTTTGGATCCTGGCTGTGCACCGACGCACCGCTTCTCCAGCCATGCTGAGGCCACATCCCACATACAGCAACTAGAAGGATGTGCAACTGTGACATACAACTATCTACTGGGGCTTTGGGGAAAAAAAAAGGAGGAGGATTGGCAATAGATGTTAGCTCAGAGCCGGTCTTCCTCAGCAAAACAAAGAGGAGGATTAGCACGGATGTTAGTGCAGGGCTGATCTTCCTCACAAAAAAAAAAAAAAAAAAATCCATCAGAAGTTTAACAAGGCCTGTCAGCTACATAACTTACTCTCCGAGACCCATTTTCCTTGTAATCTATAAAATGGAGATAATGTCACTTTCATGAGCCTAATACTGTTATCCACCTGGTACTTAGTAGGTGCCCAGTAACTATTAACCTCCTTCTATTTTTGGAACTAGTTTTCATAAAGTACAAGGTTCTGTAGTTAAAGTGCCAGCTGTGTTCTAAGTTCTTATCAAATACGAATTAAGAGCACCAATATATAATGTAGAAAACAGTCCTAAATACTTCAGTACTCCACAAATTCTTAAATTTTATAAAAATGCTAACAAGTTTACATTTTAAGAGAATACGGCCATCTTTAGTTGTATGTCCTAAAACTCAGCTGTGTTAACTTCTGTAAGAAACCTAGATAGTTGCGTGTGATTCTTAAACATTTTACCTCTTGACTCCTCTGCTCATCAATTTCCTTCTCCATATGAAGATAATACCTATCCTATAAAGTTGTTGGAAACTTTGAATGAAGTCACATATGTAAAGACTCTTGCAAAATGCACGGTATTTGGCAGGCACCTCAATGATTTGTCCTAACACAGCAATGATACCATGACTTAACAGAAGAGGCTCTTGTATTAAAATATTTTGGAAATATTAAAAGGGTATGTAGTTTAAAGATAATTATTCCTCAACAATGGAAAACCATTAAACCAGTACCAAGTTAATTAGTCCTGTCTATACTTTAAGTATTTCTTACACTGTGATTCACAAAATGAGACACATTTCCATATCGAGCTGCATCCACTGTGAATTCATCAGATTCATAGTCCAGATCAAAGAGATATGTGATTCCTTTGTTGTCATATAACTGCCCCCGTCTTTCAGCTTCTTCACTTGTGATTACCTAAAAAGAAAAAACTATAGTATATTTATACATAGTATAGTATACAGTATATTTATATATAGCTATTGCTGAACTGAAGAAACACTCATCCATAAGTTAATTAATATATTAATGCCTACAAGTGTTTAAAAAGTAAGAAATTAAAGTGTCATCAAAACAAACATTCATACAAACTACTCTAGAAGAGCTAGGTGTGAAAACGAAGGGAGGAGAAATGATGGTACAAAAGACTTATGATTGTTTAAAGAGGAATTAGGACAACCCAACAATTAACAAGTTGAAAGAGTGTACTACTTCCATTCTAATTATTGAGATGTTCAAAAAGCTACACAACTATAAGCTCTCTGCAGGACATAATGGAATGTAAAGCACTAAATTGACAAGTATACCGTATATGCTCTAAATATGCTCTAAAGGCATATTTTTCCTATAACTAATCTGTGTGCAGTTACAAATGAAAGTTTGTTACAAATACAGGAGAGAAGGTATGTTAAATCTGCACTCAACTGTATGGAAGGTTCAGTTTTGTAGAAGAGGTTGTTTCCATGAAAGTCTGTAGCTCAAAACCATCATCTACAATTCTGCTCAGTTCTGCACAGCTTTACCACATGCTCAGCTTAGGAAACCAAAAATGTCTAAAGTGATTCATAGTGTCAACCAAATTTAGCTGCTACATTCATTAAGTCAAAAAAGAGAATAATTTGATGATACAAGATCTAGTATCCTGAAAAGTGATTTATAATAATCTGCCATTGTCTAAAAATATAAGGATCCAATTTAATCTCAGAATTCTAGATGAATATAGATAATCATAGGTAATCCAATTCCAAACAACTTTTAAAATGTCAGATTTGACAAGCCCAGATATGCAGTCACATATTTTTCTAGGCACAGCTGAACCCACCATTCAGTTTGAGGAAGTGTGGTGCAGAGGTGAAGTGCACTGATTTTGGAGCCTTGGTTTTGAATCCTGGCTCTTCTTTACTACTATGTGACCTTGGGCAAGTTGCTTAATTTCTCTGGGCCTCAGTTTCCTCATCTATAATAATGGAGATAATACCTACTACCTCATAGAGTTGTTGAGAGAATTAATGAGTTAACACATAAGGTGCTTAGAAGAGTATGTGGCACATGGTTAATACTACTTTTTGTATATATACCTTATATATCTAAAAATAAATTTGCTTAGTATTTGGTAATGTAGAGAATAGTCTTTGCAGCCGACTTGCAGATACAAAGAGTTTGGATTTTCTTATGGATGCAATAAATGCTTTTATGTATATTTTATAATACTTGCTCATACAGCATTGGTCTACTCTACAATATCCTTCATACTGACACAAAAATTGAGTTTTGCCAGGTCTGGCCCCATGGCGTAGTGGTTAAGTTTGGCGCGGTCTGCTTCGGCAGCCTGGGTTCAGATCCTGGGCGTGGACCTACATCACTCACCAGCCATGCTGTGGCGGCAACCCGCATACAAAATAGAGGAAGACTGGCACAGAAGTTAGCTCAGGGCGAATCTTCCTCAAGTAAAAAGAGGGAGATTGGCAACAGATGTTAGCTCAGGACTAATCTTTCTCAACAACAACAACAAAAAAATTGAGTTATGCCAACTACACTTAACCATATTTGGTCAAATGGATGAAGTAAATTACAATTTAAAAGTTTCAAAGTCAGCATGTATTTAGATCTGATTTTCTTTTTAGGAGTTTTATGTAAAAATAGTCGTCGTATTTTAAAATCTAAAAATGCCAGTTTCAATGACCACGAATGGGTGTTTGTTGAAAGACGACTGTATCCATTTCATTTGTCATTCTATATATTTTTTGTTCATATTCAAGTTTATATTTCTAATTATGCCAGTGAACCCTTCTCTCAAACCTGAAATTTCCACATATTTCCAAATGATAATATCAAAATGATAGTACCAAATATCTATGTTACTGAGGTAAAAAGTAACTTTTCAAAAGCGTAAACCTTCCATGCACATTATTTGCTATGCGATAAATTGAACGTACCTCTCCAACATATTCCATGACAAAACTCATTCTTTTAATCTTCACAAGGGTTTTTACACCCCAGCCACAGCCATTGCTAGTTCGAAAGATGCAAAGTGTATACTGTGTGCCTTTTTGTACAATCCTATTGGGACAATCAGGTCCACATTGACACCTTGAGTTGCATTCATAAATGGGGGTACCAGGTGGGATTTTAATTTGTTGGTTTTTATTATAAGCCAAAAGAACTCCAGCTTCAGCAGGACAGCATTTCTCAAAGAAGCAATCTGTGCATGAACAACCAAAGGTAGCTTCATTTACTAAGCTGATTCCAGGAGCTGGTTTGTATTCATTAATGTAGTAGAAGTCTGAAGGTGGGCCCTCTAAGTCAACAGTATTTTCAACAAAAATCATTCCTTTATGATTCTTTCTTCTGTTGAGTTCATCTTGCCATCTCTGGAGAGCTATCCTTTGTTTAGCCTTCTTTACAATGTACTCAGCAACGGCAGGTTTCAAAGCTTTGTTATTGTCTTTTACAGTTATTGCTTTGCCTTTCTTTACCTGAGATAAATAATTATGCTTGTCATTAAGGAATTGCTGAAGTAGTAAAGGGCACTTGAGATTTTGCAAAGGTTCCCAAGTATTTGTAGAATCTGGCCATCCTTTCCATTTTACAAGATAATATTCCATATCCTTAAAATATAAAAGAAAATGCAAATCAGATTATGACAGTCCCATTTATTTAAAATAACTTACTATCTTAAGGAGTAAGGTATCCATTATCATTTTTCTTAATCAAGTTCAGAATATAAAGAATCACAAGTTTCTAGCAGATGAAGTACAAATTATAAAAATAAAACGATTTTTCTTTATATTATATAAAATATGTATAGAATTAGATGTGGCAAAATATATTTGACCAAAGGCAAAAGCGTTGCACCTGGAGAAAGATAAAAGTACTGAAATTCATGAATATTTTACCAAACAGTGATTACGTTAAACAAAAAAGTATTTCTTGATCATGGAAATAGGTAGTCCCCAAACTAACAATTTATGACTTAGATTAGTGGCTTATGTGGCCAGCATAGATGTAGGCATCCTCTAAAGTCTGTAATTTAATATGTTACGCTCGATACAAGGGAAGTTCTATTTCTCGATGTCATGGCACACATCCCCTAGATGTTCTAGAGATACACTGTCCAATACAGTCATTCCTAGCCGCATGCAGCTATCAAGCACCTGAAATGTGGCTAGTCCGAATTGAGATGTGCTGTAAGTGTAAGAGACACTGAATCTCAGACTTAGCACAAAAAACAAATGTAAAATATTTTTTAACTTTTAAAAAATGTTGATTACAAATTGGACAGCACGATTCCAGAGAATTCTTCCCTTATTTAGATTCACCTGTGATCAGATTAGGTAGCAGGCACTCAAGCCACCAAAGATCAAATATTGTGATTTATCCCTCAGACTGCTATTGGCCACCATGGTACCTGGGATCTTGCTTTCCTACCCCAGTGACTTGACTATGTCTTCTTCACTTAAAGTCAGGCAATGCCATATTAAGTTTCTCTTAAAAAACGTAGTCAAGGGCCTGCCCAGTGACGCAAACGGTTGAGTGTGCGCACGCTCCGCTGCAGCGGCCCGGGGTTCACGGGTTCAGATCCCGGGCGCGCACCGACGCACTGCTTGGCAAGCCATGCTGTGGTGGCGTCCCATATAAAGTGGAGGAAGATGGGCACGGATGTTAGCCCAGGGCCAGTCTTCCTCAGCAAAAAGAGGAGGATTGGCATCGGATGCTAGCTCAGGGCTAATCTTCCTCACACACACACACACACACACACACAAAAAGTAGTCAACTATGTATAATAAAAAAAATTCTGAAGTAAAGTCTCTCAATTTTTTCTTTGTCCTCTGAAGTAGCTAACATATCCATGTACCCTAGGGTAAAATGCCTTCTGAAATATGAAAGTGATTAAATTGCATTCTATAGTTTTTAGTTATCATTTTAATTAACAGATATTAATAGAAACTTAATTGGGATACATTTGCTTTTCTGTCAAATTTTTAATAAAGTTTTTATTATAAAGTAAGGATGCCCATGATGGTTGTTTTACTATACGTAATTTATTAATGCCAAATGACCTGGAAGGTCTAGGCAATGTGGTGTCAGACATATTGCTGAGGCAGAAATCGGGCAGAGGAGCACTGAGGCAGCTTTTCAGGAACAAGTCACTGAGCTAAGGGAGTGAGCTTATCTTCATCTCAGTGTTCTATTATATTCTACTCAATAAGCAGTAATGCTTGTGAGTTAAAAGAACTTTGCTTCTTTATGAAAATGGTCAAAATATGTTTTTTTCTCTGTTAAAACAATGTAGTTAAATTATGGTGTGAGGATATGCACAAAAACTGTACTTCCATGGAAATACATACTGTGATTCTAGAAACAAAAGTGTTAGTCAAATTGACTCACTAAAGATGTAACATGGATTTCTCCCTCCTGTCACGTAACTCCTACAATTTGGGACGGTTGTTAGCAGATCTCTGCTCAACAATAATGAGATCCACTTGGCAGTATCTAACATTTCTACTCCCCTTAATTATAAAAGTTTTTAATTTTTCTGATTCCAAAATAAAGCAATGCAACCCTGGTCCTCCTTTCTTCTGCCAGTTTTTCCTACCAAAGCCCTGGGTTACGCCAAAAGTTGCCAGCAAAGAAACAGAAACACTGGCTTCAAGTCAGATGATTAAGCTAAATTATCATTTATCAAAACTAAAAACACCATGCCACTGGTTTGCTTCCAAAATAATGCATAGTATTGTTTAATGATGAGTCACTTGCATTTTCAGTGACTAAGTTTTGTATGTTAATCACATTGGTACCTACTTAATTTATGGATGATGAAGATGCTTATGAAACATGAGTGCTTTGGGCAAAATCGTACAGAAATATTATTAATTTTATTTCTACTACTTTGTAGACTTCTTTTATTTTATAAGCATATTTTACTTCTAAAATCCAAAAAAGATATTTCCATTTTGAAAAATAAGATAATTTTATACAGAAAAACCAGTTTGACCTGAGAAACAAATTCAATTAATTCAATATCCTAAAATTCCAAATAAAAGTGAAAAAGTTCATAAGCCTCATATATTATATATCAGTATCTTATTCTGATATGCAATCAACTCTTGATTACCTATAGAAATGGAGTACAGTCACAAAAATGATCCAAAAATCACTCCTGTATAATTTGGAATGCATCATATGAATTTTTTCTTAAAGACATTTTCCCCCACTATGTTTGGCTTAGGTTAAATTCACTCTAATATTTTAGTATCTATAATAAGTATATGCAAGTTCCATCATTAGGGGGTATGATGAAATGTAAGGTAATACTAGCCTTTAGGAGTACAATCTCATTGGAAAAAGAACGCAATAATATGTAAAATAAGTAGCAATGCAAGGTAGTACAATTTTAAATGCCAAAACAAATAAGACAATAAATATCACTAGACTATAAAGAGGGAAATCAATATAGGTCAGACCATGAGAAAAGGTCACAGAGGAAGTAGAACAAACTACACTGTGAAAGACTGATAGGATTTGTTGGGTAGGGAACAGGGCAGCGGGGATGAAAAACACCAGCAAAAGCTTGCAGCTAAGATTTGCATGAAGTATCCAGAAAACAGTGAAGAGATGGATTTGGCTAGCTTTAAAGTTGAGAATATTTAAGTGAGAGATAAAACTCTAAGGGCAAGGCGAGAGAAAATTTTAGACAGCCTTGAACACCTGACGAGGCCTTTGAACTTTTGTAGGCCAATGGTTTTTACAATTCTTGGAAACCATAGGATTTCTGTGGGGAGCTTCATTAAATACAAATACATTTATTTCCATCTTGTTGATTAAGAACAATTTTACCAGTCTTCTAATTGCCAAGCAAAGAGCTCTTCAGTCCTCATCTTACTTATGCTTTGATATCAAGATTCTCCCTTGTTCCTCTTCTGCCTTCTTTGCTAAGACCCCTACCCCTGCCCCTCACTGAAACAATGCAGATACTCAGGGCTCTGTCCTTGGCCCCTTTTCACACTAAACAAGTGTTTATTATCCCTTCTGAGAATCTGAAGAAAGCTATGGACCTTCCCCTAACAAAATTCACATATGTAATATTTTGGGTAATTTCAGCATATTTACATTCCAGGTTAAGAATCCCTGCTCTAAGTGCTCTCTCTGGGCAACCTCATCACTCCAATGGTTTAAATTATATGCTGATGACTCCCCAAATTTTATCTGCAACCCCATATATCCAATAGCCTACTGGATGCCCAACAGGGTCTTAAATCAACCTATCCACATGGAACTCACCACTCGCCTTACTAAACAGATTCTTTCTGTATTCTCCCCATCAAGAGGAATTTTACCCTGTATACCTAGTCACACAAGCCGCAAATCAGGAGATTACCCTCAATTCTTTCCTCTCCTCAATCCACCACCAAGTTTCTTTAGATGCTTATGCCTGTCCATCTCTATTACCATAGCTCTAGTTACTTCAGCCCTTCAACTCTTGCCTGGAATACATTAATCTCCTAACTGGTTTCCCTGCCTCCAGACTGACAACACTCCCAACTATCTTTCTTTATTAAAGTGTAGAGTTTTTGTATAAAAACAAATATCCACAAGTACCAGTCATTTTGTTATTTTCTTGCTTAAAAATTTTAATGTCTCCCCCATTGCCTAAAGAATTAAGTTCAAACTTCCTACTATAACAAAGAAGATCATTCTTTTTTTTTTATTTTTGTGAGGAAGATCAGCCCTGAGCTAACATCTGCCAATCCTCCTCTTTTTGCTGAGGAAGACTGGCCCTGGGCTAACATCCGTGTCCATCTTCCTCTACTTTATATGGGACACCTCCACAGCATGGCTTGACAAGCGGTGCGTCGGTGTGCGCCCAGGATCCGAACCAGCAAACCCCGGGCCGCCGTAGCGGAGCGCGCGCACTTAACCACTTGTGCCACCAGGTGGGCCCCAGAAGATCATTCTTGAGTGGGACCCTGCTGCCTCTCGAGCTCACTCTTCCCTTATGGCCCCCTTCACACACCACCCTTCAGCCACAGTGCACTGCTGCTAGTACTTGAACATGCCAGGCCTTTTCACACCTTTCTGCTGCTTTCGTCACAAAGTTCTAATTAAAATGGCCTCTTCCATTTGCCTAATGAACACTTGCTTATTTCAGTTTCACCTTTTCTGTGTAGAATACCTATTCATCTTTAAAACTTAGCTCAAATGTCATCTCTCCTGGGAAGTCTTTCCTACCTCTCTTGCCCAAGGAGGACCGATCACTGCCAAACCCCCTTGTGTTACCATTTCCATTTCTCTAAACTATAAGAGATTTGTGTGGAGGGATGGAATCTTATTATTCGTAGCTCCAGAACCAAGCACAATTGCCTACGTATCTTACGCTTTGACTACGTTTCTGAATGTATAACAAAAAATACGACTACCAACATGTATGCAATGTAAAAATCACTAGTAACTAGTCATGCATCATTTAACAACAGGGATATGTTCTGAGAAATGTGTTGTTAGGCAATTTCGTCATCGTGCAAATATCATAGAGTGTACTTATGCAAACCTAGATGTACAGCCTACTACACACCTAGGCTATACGGTACTAATACGGTCATATATGGTC